CAACCAATTAGATAAAATAGTTCTTTTTCCTTTTTAATTCTAACAATTTTCATAACAAAAAACAAGGGAAAACAAAAATAATATTTTATTGTTTTCAATGCCTCGTTAAAGTCATATTCAATTTCTGAATCTCTTATCAAACACATATTCGAAAACACTAAATATATAGAATACAACTTTTGTTTCCATTAAATCCTTAATTTTCAAATTCATGTTTTTAGATCGCCAACCAAACGCACCCTAAATTTTCACAAAAAGAAACTATATGTTGGGTAAAATTAAAACCCAAAACTTAAAATCCATTGATTGAGTTTCCATTTCAATTCAAGAGAATTAATACCAAAGAAGCGGGAGCATACCTTGATCCATAATTGAATGTCGAATGATTTTCCTCTGGTTTCTACTCTGTATATTCGTAGAAGAGGAAGCAGGTTCTCTTTGAGGAGATGAGAGAAAACCATTGGTCAATTACAGCGTTTTGATATTTTCAATTTGACCCCTCATCAAATTGGAAATTATTTCATGTTATCTATACATAGTCATTTTATAACTACTCCGTTAAACCAAAACTTACACATCTTTATTTTAGTACGACATGCGGGATGACGATTAGAACTCATGATTAGAGATATATGTCTCAAACAATTGGGCTATGTTCAAGTATCTTTTAATTATAAATAAGTGTCTCAACTAGTTGAGCTAAACTGAAATTGGCATATAAAATTTAAACTTATTAACAAATAGCGAAAAGATAAATATGGAATGGGAGATCGAACTCACAATCTCTTGTAGTTGAAAATATATGTCAATTGTTGTTGAGCTATGTTCCCTTGGCAAGTAATTATTAATTTAGTTTTTTTAGTATTTAAAAATTTTCAATTTTACTTTAATGCCCCGTTTGGAGTTAAATGTCTGAATTTTAAATGATTGAGATATTAAATATGATAATTAAATGTCTGTTTTGCCAGTTTTGTTCATGGAAATTCTATTTAATCAACTAATTATATTTAAGGGAATAATTTTCTTCTGGAACATTTAAGGGAATAAATTAATGTAACCATAAACTAAAATTGGTATTTATTTAAAATATTAATTATAAGTAACTAAGTCAATTAAACAAGTATGAGTTAATTAAAGAATTAATTTTTATAAATAAAATTAAAGTACTAATAATAAATAATTAAATGAATAATATGAAATATTAATTATATATATACTAATTAAAATGTCTTAAGTTTAAACAATATATTGATGTTAATAATTAATCAATAGTTAATTAAAAATAAAAAGTTATAATTAATAAACATGAATCAATTAATTAATTATGCTATTTATTTACTATTCATCTTCCACGAATAAAAGCCCCATCTATAGTGGAGAGTGATAAAAAAAACTCATGGTTGATGGTTTTTTTTTTTTTAATTAAAGAACCTACCAACAACCATTTAGACCACAGAAGTCTTTAGAAGTCAGGGTAGAAAATCAGAAAGCCAAAGCAGAGGGACATCCTTAAAAGGACCGGGAAAATTAGGACCTGTTTGGTTGGAAACTCGGATCCTATTTTTTGTTTTCAGATTTACTAAATCAAATGGATCCAATGAATAAGGGTTTGGCAGGATTTTGGATATTTGTTTTTTAAAACTGTTTTCGGATGATGTGATTCAAACAATAGAAATTCTGAAAATGATTTTGGTATGTTTTCAGTGTTTTCAGATTCAGAATTTAAAATTTTGAAAATACAGAATTATATTAAAAATGATAAAAAGTTTGATAAATATATTACTTCATATTATAAACTCATTTTATGTTTGTTAAAATTAAAACATGTAAAATATAATGTATTCTAAATTATATAACCTTATAAAATAACAATTATACAAAATTCATAAAAAAAAATGTTAATAAATTAATTATTATAAGTTTAGATTAAACTAAAATTTAGTTTGCAACTACTTCTAGTTTACAAATATATTACTAAACAAACATTGAACAATTGTTTAAATTGAGATTCAATTACCAAATCCGCTGCCAAATACATATATGAAAACACTGAAACAACTCTGGTTTTCATTGAATTCATTGTTTTCAAATTTCTGTTTTTTGATTACCAACCAAACACACCCTTACTTATCAAGAAAATTCTCCTTCCACGTTTCTGGAGGGAAATAGAATCCAAACATACAATAAAAGAATGTATAGAAAGCGCAATAATCGATATAAGCAATTTATACTAGCTAAGTAACCTAATTTCTAGTAACTATAACAATAGAATCCTAAAAATACAGGAATGAAAAACGTCACCAATGCTCGAGAACTGATTGTCGACGATGCACTACGACCTGAGATCTCGAACTTTGCACTGCTCTGCCAAACACCGCCTCACATCCATCTAAATTTGTGCACCAACCCTATTTTGGCCGCCATTTAATTATGCACCAACATAATAACCAAAACCTAAATCGAAACAAGGTATTTAAAAACATTGTCGCAACGTAGCATCTATCAATGATATGAACATCACCGGCATCAGGCACCAAACACACACGCCTTTTGTTTTCCGCCTATTTGTCACAGCATTGAGACGTTAGTGTCCTCTCGTCCAGTATGGCTCCTAGAGCTCCTTCCTTTCAGTTTTATTCCTTTCTTCAATTTCTCCATTGTTTTGGCTCCACCAATCCCAAGACAAACATGCATAAAGAAAATAGAGAGGAAGGAGCTTGACTAATGTCTCGAGCCCAAGTAGCCACCTCATTTTGCCAAAGAATCCTCTATTTATTTTGTTTATATATGCGTATTTAAGTCATTCTATATACATATATATTTGAAACTTCCAATTTCGAAAAAATAAGTAGATTTCACGACCTCTCATTTCGAGGAAATAAGTAGATTTCATTTATATATAAGCATTTGATAGTTCTATAAAATAAAAATGGATATTTAATATATGTCTCAAACATATAATCACAACTTATAAAACAAAGGAGTCTTTAATGTTTTAAAAGGTCTCACTTGGATTATTTCATGGAAAAAAAATATTAAAACTTGTTAACAAAATTTTGATGTATCATCGAATTATTGACATGTCAAGACTTAAAAATATTTAGACATGCAGGCATGTCTCTCTTATTTTACTCATCGCATCGAAATTCAATTTCCGCGTCAAAAAAATCTAATATGCATAACAAGAAATTTATTTTCATCACATATTCGAGTAGTTTGTCCATGTCCATATATATTAATAAACAATAATTTAATGACACATTAAATAAACTTTTTACTCACCATTGTTTTCATGTAAAGACTTAATGTCTAAGTATTAAAACACAAGTTAAATTTGAGAATTTAAAATAGCGATGACCAAATTTATAATTAATTTTTTTACAAGATTATTTGATATATTTAGCACAATTCAATAACTATAATTTTAAAATATTATAATTAAATATTTGATTTTTTTTTTTGAAATTCAACCTTATGTGGGAGTGGAGATTCCAACCTTTGACGAAAATGTATATATTAAACTATGCTCGGCAAATAATGTGTGAGCCTTTTTTGTTTGTTTTTTTTTTTTGTACTTAGACAAATAATGTGAAATAATAAAAAAATTTTATATTTGAATTCTAGATCGTAAGACTCTTTAACGTACCAAAGAGTAAATTAAATATACAAATACATGTACAATAAAAAATTGGTTGAGGATATTATTTAATATTGGCAACTAAAATAATCAAAGATAAATTGTTTCACTTAACAACAATTTTTTAACATAAAATATTTAATAATTAATCTTTTTAAGTTTATAGGGATTAAATTATTATAGCTAACTTTTGGATGTGTACCTCCATATTGACAGCTTAAACCCATGATTTTAAAAAATAATCATAATATAAAAGTTACTTAAATTATATTTTGGCTCTTAAACATTTGCTTAATTATGCTTTAGTTATTGTCCTTCAACTACAATGTAAATATCATTAATTTAAATATCTTAGGTGAAACTATAAATTTGGACATGTTTAAAAAAAAACTATAAATTTGGAGCTTGAATTTTTAAGATTATATCTCTTTAATCTTTTAACCTTTAAAAATATCAATTATATTAACTGATTTTATACTCTAAGAAACCAAACCGATCCATAAGTATAATTCAACCTATCCTAATAAGATCGATTTTGTTTGACTCTTGATTTTGAATACAGACACTCCCAATAAGAGTTGCAACATGAGGCCAACACGAACATCAATGATGAAGATCAAATTGATCATAAGACACGTCATCATTTGGTTAACAACTTAACTTTGCAAGTGTTGCCTACAAAGAAAGTTTGAATATCTAAATTTTAATGACTCTGTAGCAAGGAAAGTTAGCGAACTAATCACTAACGTTTGAATGGACCGTTTAACCGTATTCCCGCCTCATAACCTATCTCATGCCTAAAATCTCGGAAATAACCGTCCAATTGAGCACACGACTCCAATAGTTATCTTTCCTTTCAAATAAATACCCTGAAGAGTAAGGAAAGAGGCACACAAACATTTTGATTTGAAACTTACTCTCTCGGAGATTTTAATATCTCGACTTATCATTTTTTTTTAAAAACTATTAATTAAGACATCTATTCCTTCATTTAAAATCAGAAGTTAAAATCTCCGCTCCACATTTCCTCAATGTAAAGTAATGGTCAAATCATAACATAAATGCAACTATGTTCGCATCGACTATGTATTTTAATAATCTTACAGGTAATTTTAAGTTCATAGAACAAAATAAAAAGAAACTAGTTGGATAGAAATGTAATTTAAGCAACAAAATAAAAAAAGTGGGGGAAAATGGTTGCTATCAAACAATCCATTACTGAGCATCTGCTTCAGTTGGACTGGTCTTTTGGTACAATTACCACAGCAGATTGTTTCAAATTTTGTCAGATTGTCTCAGCCATTCAAAATTTTCATCAATCAAACCCCATTTTCATTTTCATTTTCATTTCAATTCTCTCCTCTCTCTCCTCCATTTGATTTGCAGACTCCCCCTCAAGATTTTCAGTTGAAAATTCTGAAACCCACTACCACAGCACAGCCCATCCATGGTTCCACTCCCAATGTTGCTCCCTTTTTCCCTCACCCTCCTCTGACCAATCTTCGGTCTCTGTGATTTGCGAGTGACCCTTTTATTTTTTTACCCTTTCTGATTCATAATGGAATTCAATCGCACGTAAAACAAAAAGAAATTGCCCCAACTCGAGGCGTTTTCTCTTTATTTTATTTTCGCCATGGCTGCGGCTAAATGCTAAACTATTCCATTTCTTCCCATTTCTCTCTGTGTTCTCTTCAAATGCCCCTCAGATCCATTCTTTCGAGAGACTAAGAGAGGTAGAGAGGTGAGTTTCTTGTTCTGATGATGATGATGTTGTTCTAGGCCGTCAATGAAGCAGTGCCGAGGTAATTTACGGCAATTTTTCTGGGTTTTTTTTGGTTTTTGGTCGTGGGTTTGGATTGAAAAATGTGATTTCTGATTCATGCTTTGTGTTCTTCCTGTAAATCGAAAACCCATCTTTCAATTTTGTTTTTCTGTTTTTGTGTAGCTTTGATTTTGAGTTTGATCCTTCGTTGTTTCTAGAGCTTGCTGAGTTCCTTCATGCCCTCCAATGGAGGTTTTAGTAAGCGAAGGATTGGCTCGGAGGAACCCTCGCACCGGCGGTCGGACGGAGAAAGGCCCAGGCTCTTACTGTTGCATTCAACTTAAGCTTATGTGGGAGTGAATGAGCTGAAAACTTTGTGAAATTAGATCTGCTTCCAAGTTGTGAAAGCTCGGATTCATGGATTCTGATGGGGTCGCTGCAGAGTCTGCTCCGGCGACAGAGGAGATTATTTCCACCGGTCTCACCATCAAAATAGCACCAACTTCCGGCAGCAAACCGCCGGGAACTTCCCCTTCCGATTTGGCATTGCCGGACCCTAAAATCTCAATCGAATCCTCCCCTTACAACTCTCCTTCCCTTCTATCGCCGCCGTCGTCGGCGTTTGTTTCGGCTCTGCAGTCGCCGTACATATCGCCGAGGGCGGTGGTCCCAAAACCAGAAGAGAAGCTTAATCCGGCGGAGAACACGGCGGCGCTGACGTGTCCCTCACCGCTGGTCTCTCATTCTGAGGATATTCCGAGTAGTTCCTATACTCCTCCGTCGGACCAATATGAATATTCCGATGACTCACCTGATTCTAAGCTTCAGTTTGTGGCTTGTGTTCCGGTCTCCGACTCCGCTCCGCCGCGCATTTCGTTCTCCTTCCCAGTCCCCCGGATCTCCTTCGCCAAAGGGGGCGGCCCGCTCTCCCCCGTTTCCACATCAAAGCTCAGAAGCTGTGATGTCTACATTGGCTTCCACGGGAATGCTCCTGGCCTGCTGCGCTTCTGTAAATGGCTCAAATCAGAACTTGAGCTTCAAGGGATTGCCTGCTTCGTCGCGGACCGGTCCAAGTACTCCGATAACCAGAGCCACGAGATCGCCGACCGGGTTATTGGCTCTGTGACATTTGGGGTCGTCGTCCTCACAAGCTCAAGCTTCCACAACCATTTCACCTTGGAAGAGGTGAGATTCTTTGCACAGAAAAAGAATTTGATTCCCTTCTTTTTCGACATGGAGTCGTCTGAGATCTCGAGCTTTCTCAACTACAATTCCATGGATAAAGAGTACAAAGAGACAGTACAGGGATTAATGAAGTCCCATGAGTACAAGTTGGAAGCCAATGAAGGTAATTGGAGAAGCTGTGTAGCTAAAGCAGCTGGGATTTTAAGGGCAAAGCTTGGGAGGATGAGTACTGAAAGTGATGTTGAAACATTTGAGGAGCTGCCATTCCCAAGAAACAGATGCTTTGTGGGGAGGGAGAAGGAGATTATGGAAATGGAAACCACTCTGTTTGGAAGCAGAAGTTGTCAAAAGCAAGACAGTGCAGTTCCGGTTCCGCTTCCATTTCCGACCGCTGAAGGCAATGCCAGCCAGCAATCTGAAGGCCTAGCAGATGAAGAAAGTGAGCCAGTTACAGTGAGGGGAAGTAGATTCATTAATTTGGAGATAGGGAGGTCTGATAATCCAACTTTAGAGACTTGGGTTGAGCCAGTTAAAGGAAGAAATTCATTCAAGAAATTAAAACACAAGGAAATGGTGAAGAGTGGGAATCACAAGAGCTTGAGCGGCGGCATAGTCTGCATTAATGGGGTCCCTGGAATTGGAAAGACAGAGCTCGCTCTGGAATTTGCTTATAGATACTCCCAAAGATATAAGATGGTTTTATGGGTCGGTGGGGAAGCTCGGTACTTTCGACAAAACATATTGAATCTGTCTTTGAACTTGGGATTGGATATAAGTGCAGATGCCGAAAAGGATAGAGGGCGGTTTCGGAGTTTTGAGGAGCAAGAACTTGAGGCATTCAAGAGAGTCAAGAGGGAGCTGTTTGGAGACATGCCATATTTGTTGATCATTGACAATCTTGAGGCAGAGGAGGATTGGTGGGAAGGGAAAGATTTGAACGATTTGTTGCCGAGGAACACCGGGGGATCTCATGTGATCATCACGACGAGACTCGCTAAGGTGACAAGTTTTCGGATGATTAATATCCATCCATTGCCCTTGGCTGATGCAATGGTTTTGATGAGAGGAAGAAGGAAAAAAGAATACCCTGCTGATGAATTGGAATATCTGAGGAAGTTTGATGAGAAACTTGGAAGGTTGACATATGGTCTTTGGGTGATCGGGTCGCTGCTTTGTGAGCTCGCAATCGCCCCATCTTCTCTTTTCGAAGCTATCGAGCAAGTTCCGATCGATGACTGTTCTCCCTGCTCTTACATAAGTATAAACGAAGAACACTATTGCAAAAACAATCCCTTCCTGATGAAGATCATTTACTTCTCTTTCTCCATCTTAGAGCAAACAAATGGACCACTGGCATCAGGAATATTTCTGGTCGGGGCCTGGTTCGCCCCAGCGCCTGTTTCGGTATCTGTTCTAGCCACAGCAGCAAAGGATATGGCTGTCTCAAGAAAAGGGTTAAAAAAGTGGAGCAAATATCTGAGCCTCATGTTTGGTTGTTGCTCCTTTTGTATGGCTTCACAAGCTTGGAAGAGTGAGGAAGAATCTGCCCTTCTTCTGATCAAGTTCGGACTCGCCCGAAAAGCAAACAAGCAGCCAGGTTGTTGGATCCAATTCCATCCCATAACTCAAGTGTTTGCCAAAAGAAAGGAGGGTTTATCAGCTGCCAAGTCCATAGTTCAAGGGGTAAGGAAATCTAGTAGTAACACAATGGCAAACTTGGATCATCTATGGGCTTCTGCGTTTCTCGTCTTCGGTTTCAAATCCGAACCTCCATTTGTACAACTAAAGGCTGTCGATATGGTCCTATACATAAAAAAGACTGCCCTCCCCTTGGCGATTCGGGCGTTCACGACCTTTTCGAGATGCAACTCAGCACTAGAGTTGTTGAAGGTCTGCACAAATGCACTTGAAGAAGTAGAAAAGTCATTTGTATCTCAAATACAAGACTGGTGTGAAGGGTCCTTATGTTGGAAGAAGAAGTTCCAAGGCTTCCAGCGGGTCGACGAATACGTATGGCAGGACGTGACATTACTGAAAGCTACATTGCTCGAAACCCGAGCAAAGCTACTACTAAGAGGCGGACACTTCGACAGCGCCGAAGAACTATGCAGAACCTGCATAAGTATCAGAACAGTCATGTTGGGACACAACCATGCCCAAACCTTGGCATCTCAAGAAACGCTAGCGAAAATCGTTCGACTTCGGAGCAAGATCTGATGTAGTTAATAGTCCAGGACACTTGGTAAACTAGTTTTGATAGTTCAGTTATCAAGTGTTTGTATGTAAAATCAGATTTATGGGTCATATTGTCATAAATGTCACTGTTCTCTCTGCCATTCTAGTTTAACTGACATAAGAAAAATGGGATGAACTGATAAAATGCTTTAGTTTTGTAAATTCTTCTTCAACTTCTTGACTAGAATGGATTAAATTATAGTTTGTGATAAACAAAATGACAAAGAGGGAACCACAGTGGGATAAGGTTTTGGCATTTAAAACTTATAAAGCATTTCAACTAATGCCTGAAAGCTTATCTTAATACTTGGCTCACAAATGACTTACCCAAAAACACATATAGCAGAAAACCATTCTCTAATACCCACTTGCTTCAAATTCAAACTTCACTACTCTGTCATGAGCGATGGCTCGACATATCGGTATACCAATAATCAAAGCTCGAAATACATCGCATCAACTCAGGAGCATTAGCAGATCTGGTATGTCAACACATGTTCCTATGTCCATTCCAAAGAGCATCCTCGGCTCAGAAGTCACAGTCATCTTTTCCACTTTAACCAATAGAAAACTTCGATCGCACCGTAGTCCGGGCGGGGGCCACTTTACATGAAATTTCAGACAGGGAACTGAATGTTTTAACTAGGGTCCAATTATTTCAAGGCAAGGCAGGGAAATTCAGAGGTTCTAATTACAGGGCATGGAAAGCTGGCGAGTGATGGATGATCCATGCAGATGCAGCTGTGAGTCGGCAATATGAAATGTTTAGAGAGCCCCACGAGTGGTCAATTTGTTTATGTTAATAATCTTCAAAGCTTTTGAAGGGCAATACTAAGCCATATGTAAAGTGGTCCACAATTGCAATGGCTCCATTTTCTACGCACAGAAAAAGTTTTGGGAGATGTCTACATCGTCTCACCATGCAACTAAGTAATGTATTTTATTACCGCTCTAACACGGAGATTTAAATACTATTTTAGCTCTTATACTTTCTACAATTYATTTTGGTTGTTGTACTTTTAAACGGTTCATTTCGATTATTGTACATTTAACTTTTTTTTTAGTCTCTATACTTTCAAAATGTCTATTTTGGTCTCTTTATTCACTTTTTTCGATTATAATTTTAGCATGATATTTTACTTGCTAAATTTCTAAACATAGGCATAAATTGTATTATAAAATTTGTATTCAAATTTTTTAAATAAGAACCAAATTGGTCACTTTTCAAAACTACATTGACTAAAATGAATGTTATGAAACCACGAAAACCAAAATAGTATTTAATTAAGATTTTATGTATTAAAAAAAGATTAAATATACCACTAACTTATTGTCTTATGTTTTTTGTGCAATGAGAGTTTAACATGGTATCAAAGCAAAAGGTCCTGAAAAAATTATCGAATGTAACTACTTTCTAATAATTTTTAGATGTAGATTCAAAATCTATATGTCCTTAATAATTTATATAAGTTTGAGATACATTTTTGTATTCCTCGATACATTTTTGTGTTCCTCTCTCATATATCCAACGGTATAAATCACGTTGTTCCAACTTTTTAGATTTGATGATAATTCCTAAGCTCACAAGTCGGAGAGTGTTAAGAGTTTATATACCTATAATCAAATACATCATAATCTATCGACTTAAACTTTTCGATGTAGTAGTAATTTAACAAAGTAAGAAATCTATGTTACTAAGTCCACTATATTGTCGTTTCGTTCCCGACTAATAATGATTCTACTCTCCAACTCATATCAACAACTTAAATTTTTAGATTTAGCAATAGCCTAGTGGAAACCCATTTCATAAAAAGTTAGAAGCACACAACTTGGAAACACAAAACATGGCTTTAATGATGGTTTGCCAAAGAGAAAAAAAAAAAAAAAAGTTTTGCTTCCATGGAGTGATGAGAGAGAGAGAGAACCATATTGATCAAAAAGTGAAAAGGGCTAGATAGAGCCCTCCATTTCCATTCCTGTCTGCAAATATTCCCAACATCCGTATCACATCTCCTTTTTTTTTTTACCTTCTCTTCTTAAAGTAGTGCCCTCTCTCTCCTCTCTTTCTCTCTCTCCTTTCTCTCTTTCTCTTACTGCTCTGAATGCTTTTAATGGATATATATATTTCATGGTCCAGCTGCCACCTTTGCATGCGAGCGTGCTTTCTCTTCTCTTCTCTTCTCTACCCATTCTTCTATCATTTCTATTGTTAACATGAGCATAGCTCAATATTAATTGACATGTATTTCTTCCTTCGAAGTCAGAGGTTCGATCCCCGTATCCCCAAATTATTGTTCTCAAGGGAAAAAAAAGATCTCTAAGATCTCTTCTGTGCCAAACCACCAAAGGACATCAAATTAGCAAAATAACACTCGCCCTTTTCTGTTCTCATCAAAATACTCGCTTGTATGATCAAAAATCAATCTTGTGAGACAGAGAGAGGGATTCCATCAAATGACAAGATGTCAACTAATCTTCATGTTCAATACAGTAATGGAAGTTAATCTAAAGCTTGTGATGTTCTACTCACTAATGGCTGCTACTGATTTGATTCGACTGTCAAGGAATCTCCTTTTTCCTTCTGTTTGTTTGTTTCTTTAGGCTATATGTCATGTGTGTGTTGAATCTGTGGAGCCTTTTAGACTAGCAAAATAAATGGTTGTCATGAATTCAAACGTATGAGAAATTGGGTAAGGCTGAACAGGAAAAAAAAAAGATATTAAACATCGGGAAAGCTCGGTTCCATTACGTTTTGGTCGAAGGTTCGATACGATTATTCTTTGAAAACCACTTGTACATATATATATATATATATATATATATATATATATATATTTATATATATTTATATCCTAATCTCTTCCATAGCTTTAGAACTGGCTTAATAACACAGCCACTCCCCCCTCTCTGAATCTCCATCTGTATGTATCTTCATCATCTGGTAAAATGTGTATCACTGTCAACCGCTCTGCTTTTGTCGTCGCTGAAGGTCATTTCTTTTTCTGTCCATCAGCACAAGTCTATGAGCATATCCCCAAAAAAACGCATTTGGCTACCGAAAAAAACAACCAAACTTTGCAAGAAACATTGGATTGTTGTTCGATGGCACGAACGAACGAACTTGCCTAGCAGAAACTACAATGAGCAAAGATCTTGAGTTAATAAACTCTTTTCTTGTGGATGTATAACAAAGCCCCTACTAAAAGACTCCCCTCCTGCAGACGTACGGTGCTTCCGAAGTACAATCCCACTTCACGGGACTTGTGTGGTCTTTCCCGGACAGGACTGACTGAAAACTCGAACTGCGTGCGGTCGTGTGTTTATCAGGATTTGAACCCTCCTTTGGTTGATAACAATATGGATTTACATGTAACGGATTGCCACTGGAAGTGAAGGGGATTGAAACACCAGGTGCTATAATTTGAAGAGTAGTCATCATGCCTCCAGGGTATTTTGGATCATTGGCCATCAATCTGGCTTCACAGTAAGAAGAAGCATCACCCATTGGATTAATTTCCTTGATGGCATTCATCTGCTGATGATGATGATCAGGCATTTTGATGGTGGTTCTATTTGTGTTGTACACAGATGCTTCGTTTAGTTTGCGCTCAGGTTGGTTCGGTGCTTCGCTCATGCAAGAATGCAGATTGTAGTCGCTTTTGTATGCCCGCGAGGCTGTATGCTCGCTATCTGTCTGCTGCTTCAGAAGCAAAGCGGCTGGTTCTCGAACATGTGATGGTGGCATGTTCAGATTTGCTGGGTTCCTGAAGCCCTTCGACAACCTTACATCAAGACTCCACCCGAACACATTACCTGCATTTTGATCTTTCAAGGAATCTTGATGCTGCCAATGAGGAAAGGAGCTTCGAGTATTTTGTGAGGAACTGTTAACGTAACTCGGAGCCTGAGTAGAGGAGACGTGGTTAAGTTGCGGATGCTGCTGCTTAACTGGCATAGGGATATCTTCCTCATCTTTGTTTACCACCATCAAATTCTTGCCCATTAACCTGAGTACAGGATTAGAAGTAGCTGGACTGGCAGGCTCGCACTTACTCCTTGAAAATCTTGATCCTGGATCAGAGAAACCATCTGAAGGATGGGCCTTCAAAGACGACTTAGCGATTGGGAATTCCATATTCTCGGATAATGAATGTCGGCAATTGCCCAATGAAGACGCTTCAGGCAGAATGTCGAAGCTGTTCGGTCTACCATTCAGACTGTAAGTTATCTGCTTTCTTTCCATCACTGGCATGGTTTCCAAACGCGATGCCTGATGCCTTATCAGTTGTGGTTCTTGAAAAGTTACATTGATGCTGTGAGACATTCTGCCAACCCTCTGACAACGGCAAGGCTGGGCATCATTTACGACACTGAGAGTTCCCCTTTCGACGGATAACTTGTTGGTTTTAAACATATCACCATTTGTCCTTCCATCTCCCATACAAGTTACATGAGGCAAGCCAACATCATTTTCGACAAAAGGCAAAGCACCAGCATTTGGAGATACCGACCCTAGTTTATCATGAAATACATCAGATACTCCATATGAATTATTAAGCTTCAAACAAGATCTAGATGCTGCAGAGTTAGAGATGGTTGATGTTGCAGAAATAGGCGAACCCGATGAATCCCCATCAATCAAATCATGCTGATCTTGGCAAGAATGAACCCAGCTATTGCTTAATGAGGAATTTCCTCGAAATTCTTCAGATCTCATGTCTCGGGGGGGACTTGGCAAAAATGATCCCGGAGGTCCCGGAATAGATATCGGATCGACCTCAAAACAAGATTTTCCTCGCCTGACTTCAGAATCCAATTCTCTTCCATTATGAACATCATGCCCAATCATGGCACTGCAGTCTTCATCAGCAAAAAACATTTCTTGTCCATGACCAAAACTTGACTCACTGAAACCGCCTTTCGTCCCATCTCCATAGAAGGAGCATGAACAATTCTGAGTAGATTGTGGCATGCCACACCGAATCTTGGCGTTGCTGTTCGACTTCAAAAACTGAGGATCCATAGATTTACAAAAGCACATGAAGCTCTCCTTTGGAGCTAGCTTTGAAGAAGAATCCACACTGACATCTTCATGAAACAAACTCTCCTTACTAGCAAGTTCAAGGCTCTCAATTTTTTCTTGAAACTCAGCACCCATTTTAACATGAGAATCCATATTTTCCTCCTCATGATGCCTGTCATATTTGGGTTCTGACTCCGAACTACTCAGAGATATGGCTTCGCTCATTGCTTCTCTCTTGCTTCTGTTTTTTAGTTCACTACTTACTTTAGGAGATACCACTTCAGTAACCTCTTCCTTTTCGGATTGACTATCGATACTTCTGTCTGATAAACTATGGCTGTGATCTAATTCAGAATGCCAGGCAGTTATCTCTTCTTCCACATGTGACCCAAAATGGTCCCCAGGCTTCTCACAGGTAGATATTCTATTGAACTCAGGAGACTTGGATCCGGTAATAGATGACCGGCTGCTGGCAAGGACCTCTTTTCTCCGTGCTTTTAGTGCATTTTCATGCCAATTCCTAGACAATTTGTTGTTAGAACCAGGTGGCACATCAGATGCCGGATAATTTTTCATGATTTTCCCATTGGCATTTTGAGGTTTCAATAAGCAGTTGTTGCCAACAAAATAGCTACCTTTCCTCAGATGGTTGGTAATCTTTTTCTTTTGCATCAGAGAACCGCTATCGATCATTTCTCCAGAAAATGAACTTCTCAAACTCCTCCTCACAGGAGACCACCCTCCCATATCTGAAATAGGGGCTTCGTACTCCGTGTAATCGGTTCTCTCACTGCTTTCAGGAGATGAAACACAATTCTCAGAAAAATTGGTCTGATCCTGAACTTGACTTCTCTCAATAAACGAGTTGGCCAAAACCGATCGATCAGTATCAACTGCCGTTCCATGAGGCACGTGCCATTTAAATGTAGAAGGTTGATAGCCTTCTTTTCTGGTGCTCTTACTGGCTCTGGTTCTTTTTGAGCACGCCCACTGTTGTAAAGTTCCAGAATCATGGGGTTTCGCTTGCTTTGTTATTTTATGTACCTCCAAGCTACTACTTCCTTTCCGCTGGTTGTGCGCTTCTTGAACCTTGTCAATCGGTCAAGAAAAAATAAACTCAGCAACAATACAAGGCTATATGAGCATGCCATATTGTTAGAAATTTGCAGAGAAGCTCCTCCTCTTAAAGTGATTGTAATTCTAACCATTGCCATGAATAGTAAAAAATTAACTATAACATCATACTCAAAATTATACCCCCTTAATGTTTGTCAATGCTTGTTGAAGCAAAATTCGACATAAAGAGAATGGATGAACACAGAAAAGGAACAGAAACGGCAAAAATGACCTCATTTTCACCATAAATTTATGTGAATTTTCCAGTTCCCAGAAGAATCCAGATGCCAAAACTTAAGTCCTAAAATGTTGAAATCTATAGTTTAGGATGAGTGGTATATACCTGAGAAATACACTTCTGAGATGAAACTTTTCTGCCTTGAGCAGCTACTTTAAAATACTTGTGATGTTTTGATGTATGGCATTTTTTCTTTTTGGCTGAATGGAGCTTTCTTGCCTTTAATCCTCTGAGTTTCCTTGAACCAAGATCATCGTCTTGCACTTTCAGCACCGATGAAGGAGAATTAAACTTGGACAAAATTCGAAGTTTAGTTCCATTGGCATCAATATAAACTGAACCAGAATTACCAATGTCCTCAGGATGAACTGGCACCACTTTCTGCTTTTTCCCTCCATTAGCCTGACAATTTTCAATATCCTGAGCAGGAAGGCCTGATAAAGAAGCCCAAGCTGTACCGTTTCTTCTGTCGAGCTCTTCCAACGTGCAAACACGAGCTGTAGCATAGATATCTACCATCAACTTCGTCTTCCTTGGCTTGATCCTATACCTCGTGAGTTTGGAGTCTGATGTACACTTAGGAGTTGATGCTATAGAAAGACACTGATCAATATGAGCATTCAAAGTGGTGTTTGATGAAGAGGAGAAAGTCTTGCAGACAGGGCATATTTTTGAAGCCATCGACTCCGATACGGTACTAAAACTCATAGCAATATCTGCAGCCGATGTTTGGTCAGTGTGATTAGTAGATTTTCTGATTAACTTGCACCTTTTACCAGAGGCTTTGATTTTACTTTCGTTCTTTTCAGATTCCAGAAAACCACTAGTCTCCACTTCAGCCGGGGTTTCCAATAAACGATCGGTTTTCAAAGATGAACTTGATGGTCCACTTGTGGAAACCAATTCTTTTTGGGGCTGCGAGATGCTTGTCATGGTGGAAGAGAAACCATTGTTTTCTCCTTCACATCTCCATGAACTTGATTCAATGCAAGTGCTTACTTGCTTTTCATCCAACTTAGCATCTGAAGTGTCTAGTTCTCCATGTTCTTTACGCCCAGAAAACTCCCCATCAAAAACACTTATATCTTGGAACTCTGATGTAGAACTTCCACCTCCACACTGCACGAGGCACTGGTTTCTCACGAGATCCGGAGATTGAAAAGGTGGTAACAAATCCTTTACACCATGTTTCAAACAAAGCTGCAAATGTTTGAGGGAAAATGGCCAGTTGTTTTGGATATCCTTGCTCCGAGCACCAAAGACATAATCTCTGCATCATTAAAACCATTCTGTCATCAATAACGACCCATGCATACTAACTCTCACAAAGCTCAAAAACTCATTACAACTAACTAACAACTCTTTAGTTCAACAGCTTAGAGAACAAAAAGTTCACAAAAACCAAAATCTCAATAAATTAGACATTTCACATCAATATATGATCTAGAACGCAACTGAACAAAGTGAATTCATGTTATCCAAGTATGCAACATACATGTTATGGTGAGAACAAAAGAAGACAAACAATAAATTAAAAGGTAACAAAAGCATAGGTCTAGAGAGAGGACAATGACCTGACTATATGAATTCCACATCCACAGTAGCATCAAGGAAGAAAAAAGGCAAAGATTATAAGTGAGAAAAAAGTTTATATGTTAAGAAGATAGTGAAGAATGAAACAGATAAAATGAACCCATTGAGAAGCAAAAGTCTTAAGAGTGAGGCCCCATGTGGGGCTAAGAAACAAGAAGGCAAGCAACAATTTACCAAGTGGATCTACCCCAACAGAGATTTTTCCAGAGATATGGGGCTCAAAACTTTAAGATCATCAAATAGAAAAACAGGAGAAATTTACGGCTTTAGAGTGAGTTTTAAAAAAACAAACAAAACCAAAACCAGAGAAGAGGAAAAGGAGTCACTATTCAGAGGAAAAAGAAATATTATGATTATTATTACCTCAAGGAGAAGTTTGAGAATGTAGTGGAAGAGTGGTCAAGAACGGCGGCGTTTGATGGATCCTCCTCCTCTGGCAAGGGAAGGTTTTGAGAAGCCCTCTCATCATCATCATCATGGTTGTTGATTCTCAGTTGCTGCTGCTGGTATGGGGGATCTGGTGGAGGGTTTTCAATGGATAACATCTGATGAAAAGCTTCTCTAATGATCTTGTGCTGTTTTCCAAACAGTCACAAGCTCTACTACTTCTACTACTGTCTCCACTGCTAGGCCTTATCTTTAACTTAGACTTCAGCATATATATTTTTAAAAGAAAAGTACAGTCTTTTCTCTCTCTCTCTCTCTCTTTCTCTCTCTCCTTCTTCAGCCTTCTTTTGCTCAAAATTCTTCCTCACCACAAAGCAGCAGAAACCCAGAAGAAGGAAGATCGAGCAACCCCACCAGAATCTTCATCCATTAACCTGTTGAAAAGAGAAGAAATGGACATGAAATCATGAATTACAAGAGAGATCCAAGCGAGTAGAGGCAGAATAGAAGGCTCTAGAACTAGCTAGAACGTTATTTTATGTGGTGGGAATGAAGATTTTGGAAAGCCTCTGACGTGAAAATCGAAAAAACAAGGGAAGAAGTAGTTCCAAAAGCAGAAACAAGAGAAGGAACAAAGAAAATTTTTACTGAGTTTTGAAGGTCATTTCATGAGGATAAACCCAGAAAATAGTGCTCAAAATTGGGGCTGTAAAGTTCCAAATATGATGGTTTCTGTTTGGAAGATCAAGAGGGAGAAGTGGAAAGGCATGAAATCTGGAGAGATTTCATATTAAGAGACAAAACCCACCAAGGAAAAGGAAGTAAACAACCGATTGAAGGAGCCGATCAGTAAAAAGAAGAGCTGCAAAAAAACAACAGCAAACCAGAGAGGAAGAAGAAATCTACTTTTTTAGAAACCCAAAAGAGAAACAAAACCCCAAATCTTGTTGGAGTGAACAGTGGAGGAGCTAAACCTTAACAAAGGAAATTGGTAAATCAAATAGAAAACAAGTAAAAGCAGAGGCCAAGCACAGCACAGCTCAGATCCTTCATTTTGAATCATGGAAAGAGGAGAAAAAATTCAGAGGAGGGAGTGAGAGTAGATCATGAAATAACCCAGAAAGTGAAACTAAAAACTAAAAACCAAAAAACAGGCAATAAAGGAAGAAAATTTAAGAAAAACAAGACCCAGAAGAGGATCCATGGAAATAGAGCAGAGAAAACACAAACCTATGTATCTGATGGTGAAATTGGCAGCAAAGCTCAAAAGAAAAATAGGGTCTCTTCAGAAGGGGGAAATAGACAAAGGGGAAGAAGAGAAATATGAAGAGAGAGAGAGAGGAGAGAAAAAAACAGCACCACCCACTAACACATCAAAGGGGCATCAGGTTCTTGCTTTCTCTCTCTATCAAAAAAGCAGGTTTTGTAGCACTAAACACACCACGATTCACCTCCCCAATCTGTGAATATGCGTCAAGAGACCGACTTTGTGGAGGAGAGAGAAACTTACGCAACAAAAAAAATGAATAATGAAGAGAGAGAGGAAGGAGAAGAAAAAGTGTTTGTTTTGATGCATAATTTTCTTCCTTTTTCCTTTCTTCTCACTCTCTCTCTCTCATTTTGTAAATGACATGGATACAAAAATACAGAGAAAGCTGTCTAAACACTGTACCTACCCTGCTCTGCCACTCGCTCTTTCTTTGAAAATACATAATTTTATCAATTCTTTAACTTATTATTCAACTGTTTATTTGCAGTTTTAAAAGTTTAAATGGTTTATATTTTACTATTTTTAATCATATTCTTATGTTTCTTTTTTTTAATATCCGTGAATATTCAAATCAACTTACGCGTATATCGATTAATTTCACGGGACAACTGTCTGATCCTACAATATTTTGCTGCTGAAAAATATATATAAATTACTAATTCTTAAGATGAGTGGTCATCATGAAATTTGATCTTGTGTTTCCTTTTTAATACAATAAATGGGATGAGAAATTCAAACTCGTAACATATCTACAGGTACTAATTAAAGTTGAGCTTACATTAGCATTATCTTCATATGTTAAAGGGTAGTTTATGTGATTATACTAGGTAGCAAATGGTAAAATTTTTTATTAATAACTAAGCCATATAAGAGAAAATTTTGAAATTTATAGCAACTTCTAAGAAGTGGAATTACCTAATCTATTATCTAAATTTATGTGAACTCACTAATGGCATGGCATGTTTTGTGATTTTCTAAAATTAATTATATTTTATTGTCAAGCATTAGACATGGTTTGGAAGTGATTTGTCATAGTAAAAAATTACTTTACTTTCATTTAAGATTGTTAAGTCGTTTTGTAAATTTACAAAACTAGTTTTAGCTTCGTCAAAATCACTCTAAAAATGCTCTAATCCTAAATATTGTGCAACGTAAATTTACATTTCACATGATAATAGCGTGTGATTACTATGAGCATAATTCAACGATTAAGACATCTGGTTCCGTCATTAGAGATCAAAAGTTCAATCTTCCACTCTATTAAAAAGGAAAAAAAAACGAAGAAGGATATAATTGAAAAATGTAAAAACAAAAATGAAAGCTTTCAAAAATAATAGATACTAAATAAAAAAGAAAACCAAAAATAAGATTAAAAACATGAACAACAGTTACCTACATACCAATGAGTACAGTTCCTTTTCTTATGGAAAAGAATTTTATCGATTATGGCATCCAATAAATAATCGATTTAGATGATGGAATATCAAAGTCTCAATTTTATAAAATGTCAATTGATGTTGAAAAAAATTCAATACAAAAATTCAAAATTATATTTAAATTAACGAATAAGAATTTTGAAGTTTCTAAATAAGTTAAAAGTTATTATTAATAAATATTATGTCTACCTCAGTAATATTTTGTTGATATATTTTCTGAGAAAAATATAGATTAAAAGATATTTTTGGTTCTATTGAAGCAATGATTTAGTTTTGAACTTTAAAATGTAATAATTTAGTTATTGTAGTTTAAAATTTGTAATGATTTAGTCTCTATCCTGAAAATTTTGTCAAATTTCTTATATATGTAGATTAATAAATCAATAAGGGACCATGTGTTTACAAATTACAAAGACTAAATTGTTATATGACGAAAATCAACATTTAATTTTGATGAGACTTTTTACCGTAGGGACTAAATTATTACAAATTTTAAACTATAGAGATTAAATTCTTACATACTACCGTTCAGAGACTATATTATTACTGTTTTTTTTAGTACTACATTATTACTATTTTAAAAGTACATAGAATAAATCATTGCTGTTGATGCGTAAATTTGGTAGCCACACACACTTCAATACTTAAGTTAGGATAGGGGGTTGAAGAATTATGTAGGTTTTTCCGCATACCTCAAGGCTAAGTTCTTCCTATAAATCTCTAGGAAACCTAGTTACTTCGGGTCTATATGTAGCATCGTCATGGATCGGATGTAAGGAGAAAAGACAGTCGGCCCTTTACTAAACCTCATCGACTGGGCACGGGAGCAAACAACTAGTCGGCCGGGTGTCAGGTCTTGGTTGACCAGGTCCCGTGCTATCACTCATCTATCAAATTTTTGAGTTCCGACTTTCGTTCTTCCTTCTCCTGATTTGGGTCCATATAGAATTTCTTCCTTGTTCATGGATATCGTGGATCCGTAGTTTGCTCGTCGAATTCAACTTTATTTCTCCTGTGACAATTACTTTAACGAAAGTACAGAGACTAGAACATATTTTTTAATATTAGAAAGTTTGGTAAGAAGTTATTTTTGTTAAATATTATTTAGACGGGAGGAGAGAGATAGGGGGAAGAGTGACGGCTCCCCCGAAATGTCGGTTTTAGCCACTACACGACAAAACTCCATCTGTGTTTTTCCACTACAATGTTTTTTTACCTTCTCTTTCTCTCTCTTGTTTTTTCTATTAATTTCAAACTATGAATTTAATGCCTCTCGTTCTTTAATACGTCTAGTTTATTTGGGTGGTAATAAAAAAATTTTAAACTTGATTATGACATGTAATAAATATTCCATAATAAAGTCAAACATGGTAGGAAATTAAATTTCTATTTACATGCAACAATGGTAAAAATAACCAAATTTTATTATTTTTCTTTAAATATTTATCAATATTGATCGATTTTTTGAAAAATTGTGATTTCGATATTTCTATCGACATATGCTTTAGTACGTGTTTTCAACTTAATTCCTTATATTTTTTTAATTAGTTTCTCATTGTTGTAAATATTAAAATTTGATACGATAAATTCTCATCATATAATATTTTTTAGTTTTCTTTATTGTTTTTTTTCTTCTCTATTCCTATAATTCGCTAAGGTCCTATATACTTATAAGGAATCGAAATAGGAAGGAATCAGAATGAAAATATTATTTATTTGATGTTATTTATTAGAAATTTTCTTGAATCGGAATAAAAATTCTTTGATGTTGTTTACTAAAAGTGTCCAGAATTGGAATAGGAGTCGGATATAACAATTACTAGTATACCACTTTCTTATTTATACCTAATTACAAATAAATTTTTTGTGCTAATTCTTTTAATTATAAATTTAAATTTCTTTTATTACTATTTTATTTACAATAAAAAAATTATTATAACAATTTATTTAATATTAATAAATAGTTAATAATTAAAATAAATCACATAAACTAAAATGATTTTTCATTATAACAAACCATAATTTAATATAAAATATTATTAAATTTGATTGTTATAATATTTAATAATAGTGAATTAATATTTTAAAATTTTTATTGATATTAGTTAATAATTATAGTAAAATTAAAAAATTAAAAAAACACATCGCCTAATAAAAGTCGTATAAATTTTAATTAGAGGAAAAATTATTAGTAATATAAATAACAAAATTGTAAAAGACAATTAATTTAAAAGTGATAGGTCTATAAGAGATAAATGGTAAAAGCGGTAAAGTAATTATTATAAATACGTGGGCTCACAAAATAAAAGATAAAAAAAGAAATAAAATGAGATTGATAGATCATAGAAAGGACAAAGTTTTAAAATAATCTAGTTTTAAAAATAAATTACAAAAATAATGCTAGTTTAAAAAAACTACAAAATAAATGTAATTTAAATAAATAAATTCAAAGGTGAGTTATGTTTTCAGAACTATTGACAAAAATAGGTTAGGTTAAAATAAAAATCAAAACTCACCTACAATGCCTGCGATTTCCGTGCAAACGTGGCAGGTGATTGGGTGGAAGTCGCGTACAATGTACGCGACTTTCACCTTTTTTTTTTTGGAAGTCGCGTACACTCCCACATTTTTATTTATTTTGTTTTATTTTATTTATATATTGTTATTTTATTAATATTGCGAAATTTAATTAAGATGTGATTAAATTTTTTATTTTTTATTTTTTTATTTTTAAATTTGATTAAAATGTCATTTAAAGTTTAAATGTATATTAAAACCAATTCGATGATTAAAATGTCATTTAGCTTTTTGTATTTCAACTTCGTATGTTCTATAAAATAACATTTAAATTTAATATAAACTAAATCGATAAAAAATTATTAAATTAATAAAAGCATAAAAGTAAAGGTATAAATTACATGAAACTCACATGTTTTGTCATTTGCACCGCGCAATACATGACTTTAAAACAAAAACCAAATTTTGGGATATGTATAATTAGGGTTTTGTTTGTTTTACAATTATTTTGTTTTAAATTATTACATTATAGGAATATGTCCATCATCTGGTAGGTAATTAAGAACTACTTTCCAAATAATAGAGAAAATTAAGATGATAGTATTTTTCTTAAATTATGGTCTTTTAAAATAAAATTAAGAAAAACAAAGGGATATTGATGGAAAGTTGCAGGGCTATAATTTTTAAATTTAAAAGATAAAATAAAAATAAAAAATAAAAAATAAAAAAAATAAAAGAGGAAGTGGGGAAGGGCTGCCCCTCCCAAATTTAACCAAAAAAACAAAGGGAAATCGCAGACGTTGGCTGCGACTTCCAAATTCAAAATAAAAAAATAATTAAAAAGATAAATGGCCCGTCAGAAAAAACGTGGCTCCATTTGCACCAGGTCAGGTAGAATTGGCTGCGACTTTAGTGAAATCGCAGCCTACGATTTATCTACCCTAATTTTGTAATTACTTTGAAACCTACTTTAGATTTGTCATTTGTTTTTAAAAAATAATTATTTAAGAAAAAAATCCTCATAGAAAACGATTGAAATTACACTTTTTTACGAAGGAATTATAAAGTTTAAGGTGGGTCCCACAAATTGATTACATTGCTACAATTTAATAAACAAATTACACTTTTTTACGACGGAATTATAAAGTTTAAGGTGGGTCCCACCAATTGATTACATTGCTACAATTTAATAAACAAAATCAAAAGAATGAAACGAGACCTAATAATTGTTATGTTATATAAGTTCATCATTCGCTTTTAACATTCGTCCGAGAGATTAAATTAAAAAATGTAAAAACACGAGAAACTAAATTGAAAGTTTTTTAAGGACTAAATGAGAAAA